AGTTTCCCCTTCCAGTGAAATTGAAGGGCATTACAGGGAACAGTCACCTGGTCCTGGCCAGAGTTAATGCCAAGATCCCACAGAGTCAAGTCATGGAGCAGGAACCAGGCCAGGGTGCAAGATAGGTAGCAAACAGGTTCCAGCAGACTCTCTTTCGGATTTCCTGGCACTTTGGAGTTTGCAAGGATAAATTTGCATCTCTCATGAGTAAAGTGATGTCCAGAAAACACTGTCAGCTACACAAGCATCTTTATGCTGTTTAGGACACTGTTCTCAGCAACAGTCCCAGAGCAGATTTCTGAGGCAATGGCAACAATATCCATAATACTCCAAGAGCATGAACAGTCACCAAAGGGAAGAACGCCTGGTAACTTTGCTGGTATTATTACTGATGCAGGTGTGTTGCTATACAGTGTGATAGTTTCACAGATGCAGGAAACACTCAGCATCTGAGTGTCTGCCAGTCTTGACACATAGTCCTCTCCATATGCCTCTTTTAAATCTTATTGAAAATTCCTCTTACAAGAAAATGTAAAAAATCAAAAGGTAAAAGTCAATGTCAAATGAAGTAAGAGCAAGTTTTTAATAGTAATCACTGCCATAACTGAAATAAAATTATGCTGAAAAATTGGTGAATGATATGTGGGTTTATTTTATTTTATTTTCACTTTCAGATTTCTAGGAATTTGAGAGACTTCTCATGGATGTGAAAAGGAGAGACCTGTTCTCTCAGACTGTTTGTGCTGCTATAAAAACAATAACACAGAATGAGTAATTTATAAAGAATGCAAATTTATTTCTTATATTTATGGAGGCTGGAAAGTCCAAGATCAAGGCACAGGCAAGTTTAGAATCTGGTGAGAGGCCCTGTCTCTCCTTCCAAGATGGTGCTTCGTTGCTGTGTCCTACAGAAAGGAAACACTGCATCCTCAAATGGCTGAAGACAGAAGCGCAAGAGGCCCAAACGCCGCATGAAACCTCTTTTATTTATTTATTTATTTCTTCATTTATTTATTTATTTAATACGAAGTCTCACTATGTGGCCCAGGCTGGAGTGCAGTGGTGAGATCTCGGCTCACTGCAAGCTCCGCCTCATGGGCTCAAGTGATTCTCCTGCCTCAGCCTCCCACGTAGCTGGGACTGCAGGTGCCCACCACCACGCCTGGCTAATTTTTTTTTTTTTTTTTAATTTTTAGTAGAGACGGGGTCTAATCATGTTACCCAGGATGGTCTCGATCTCCTGACCTCGTGATCCACCCTCCTAGGCCTCCCAAAGTGCTGGGATTACAGGCTTGAGCCACCGTGCCCTGCTGGGTCCTCTTTTATATAAGGGCCTGACTCCTATTCATAAGGCAGGAACCCTCACAAACTAATCACCTCTTACTGGCTCTGCCTCATAATGCTATCACAACGGCCATTAAGCGTCAACATGTAGATTTTGAAAAAGACACATTCAAATTACAGCAGCTGTACAGGCAAAGAATATATAATTTCTCAAAATAAAGTTGGATTATGTAATGAAATAAACAATCATGGCACTTCAACCGTATTATATTATTCTGATGACTTTAATAGCATAAAGAACACATACAAAACACTTCATTTGAAATCATTAATGATTTGATTACAAGAGATGGTCGTTTTCTGGAGCCAATATAGTGCATGTAAAAACGTTTCTTGGCCAGGCACAGTGGCTCATGCCTGTAATCCCAGCAGTTTGGGTGGCTGAGGCAGGTGGATCATCTGAGGTCAGGAGTTAGAGACCAGCCTGGCCAACATGGCGAAACCCCATCTCTGCTAAAAATACAAAAATTTGTAGCACGTATAGTTGCAGTTACTCAGGAGGCTGAGGCACATGAATAGCTTGAACCCAGGAGGCAGAGGCTGCAGTGAGTCAAGATCGCACCACTGCACTCCAGCTTGGAGGATAGAGTGAGACTGTCAAAAAAAAAAAAAAAAAAAAAAGGCTCTCACTCCAACAGACCATCTGGGAGCACATGCTGCATCAGGACCAGAATGGACCTGCCATTTGTAGATCATATTTGTTTCATTCAGTAAGGGTTTTAATAATATTACTGTTCATAATCTTAGCATGTTCTTCATCATCTTGTATCTCTAGTTCTGCTTTTATGAAAGAAACCATATTCATACAGAAATACTTCATTTATATAACTTTTTGTTTGAATTGTTGGTCATAGACTCTTAGCTTTGGTAAATTACAACTTAAATATTGATTGTCTAAAACACAGATGTTCCATGCTCTTGACCAAACCATAAAAGTTCTCTATTAACAATGAAGTATTTCCTTTTCTTCCCCATCATCTCTCTCCTATAAAATACCACTGAGTGGGTAGTATGTATCTTCTACCTGATAGTGTTCCCACACCTCCTTGATTGTGTATCTTTTCAGAGTCAAGGAAGAGATATTTTAGTTCCCAATGCATGGATCAGATTCTCTTGTCAACTATAAAGTTCCACTCATACTGTAATACTATTAGACACTACAAAACTTTGCTGTACACTGAATATATAAGTCCCCAAAACTAATATGTTGTAACCTAACTCCTAACGTGATGCTATTTGGAGATGGAGCCCTTGGGAGGTGATATAATTTGGTTGTGTCCCCACCCAAATCTCATCTTGAATTGTAGTTACCATAATCCCCACATGTCATAGAAGGGACTTGGAGGGTGGAATTTAATCATGGGGGTGGTTTCCCTCATGCTGTTCTCATGATAGTGAGTTCTCATAAGACCTGATGGTTTTATAAGGGGCATTTCCCCCTTTTGCTCAGCACTTCTTCCTGTCATCATGTGAAGAAGGATGTGTATGCTTCCCCTTCCACCATAATTGTAAGTTTCCTGTGGCCTCGCAGCTGTGAGGAACTGTTAGTCAATTAAACCTCTTTCCTTTATAAATTACCCAGTCTGGAAAATGTCCTTATAGCAGCAGAAATTAATACAGTAAATTGGTACCAGGAGTGGGGTGCTGCTGTAAAGATATCTGAAACTGTGGAAGCGACTTTCAAACTGGGTAATAGGCAGAGGTTGGAACAGTTTGGAGGGCTCAAAAGAAGACAGGGAGATGTGGGAAAGTTTGGAACCTCCTAAGGCTTGACCAAAATGCTGATAGTAATATGTACAATGAAGTCTGGGCTGAGGTGGTCTCAGACGGAGATGAGGAACTTGTTGGGAACTGGAGTAAAGGTCACTCTTGTTATGCCAAGAGACTGGTAGCATTTTGCCCCTGCCCTAAAGATCTGTGGAAGTTTGAACTTGAGAGATGATTTAGGGTTGTCTGGTGGAAGAAATGTTTAAGCAGCAAAGCATTCAAGAGGAAGCAGAGCATAAAAGTTTGGAAAATTTGCAGCCTGATGATGTGATAGAAAAGAAAATCCCATTTTCTGGGGAGAAATTCAGGCAGGCTGTAGAAATTTGCATAAGTAACAAGAAGCCAAATGTTAATCACCAAGACAACGGGGAAAATGTCTCCAGGGCATGTCACAGACTTTCATGGCAGCCCCTCCTATTACAGGTACGAAGGTCCAGGAGGGAAAAATGGTCCTGTGGTCTGGGCCCAGGGGCTTCTGCTCTATGCAGCCTTGGAACATATTACCCTGCGTGTCAGTTGCTTCAGCTCCAGCCATGGCTTAAAGGGGTCAAGTTAGAGACAAAGCCATTGCTTTAGATAGGGCAAGCCCCAATCCTTGGCGTCTTACACGTGGTGTTGCACCTGTGACTGCACAGAAGTCAAGAATTGAAGTTTGAGAACCTCTGCCTAGATTTCAGAGGATGTATGGAAATGCCTAGATGTCGAGGCAGAAGTTTGCTTCAGAGGCAAGGCCCTCGTGGAAAAGCTCTGCTTAGGACAGTGAGGAAGGGAAATGGGGGGATGGAACCTCCACACAGAGTCCCCACTTGGCACTGTCTTCTGGAGCTGTGAGGAGAGGGCCACCATCCTCCAGACCCTAGAATTGTAGATTCACTGACAGCTTGCACCACGTGCCTGGAAAAACTGCAGTCACTTAATGCCAGCCGGTGAAAACAGTTGTGACAGGAGCGGTATCCTGCAAAGCCACAGGTGTGGAGCTGCCCGAGGCTGTGTGTGCTCATGCTTTGCATCAGCATGACCTCTATGCAAGACATGGAATCAAAGGAGATCATTTTGGAACTTAAGGTTAAATGACTTCCCTATTGGATTTCAGACTTGCATGGGGCCCATAACCCCTCTGTTTTAGTCCATTTCTCCCATTTGGAATGGGTGTGTTTACCCCTATGGTATCTATTAATAGAAAGTAACCAACTTGCTTTTGATTTTACAGGTTCATAGGCAGAAAGGATTGCCTTGTCTCAGATGAAACTTTGGACTTGGACTTTTGAGTTAATGCTGGAATGACTTAACACTTTGGGGGACTGTTATAAGGGCATGATTGTGTTACAAAATGTGAGGACATAAGTTTTGAGATGGGCCAGAGGCAGAATGATATGGTTTGTCTGTGTCCCCACCCAAATCTTCTCTTGAACTGTAGTTCCTAGAATTCCCACGTCATGTTAAAGACCTAGTGACAAATAATTAAATCATGAGGCAGTTACCCTCATGCTGTTCTCATGATAGTGAGCAAGTTCTCACAAGGTCTGATGATTGTATAACAGGCTTCCCCCTTTGCTCAGCACTCATTTCTCTCTCCTGCTGCCATGTGAAGAAGGACATGTTTGCTTCCCCTTCTACCATGACTGTTAAGTTTCCTGAGTCCTCTCCAGTCATGCAGAACTGTGAGCCAATTAAACATCTTTCCTTTATAAATTATCCAGTCTCATATATGTCCTTATAGCAGCATGAGAACAGACTAATAGAGGAGATGATTGGGTCCTAAGGGTAGATCCCTCATGAATGGAATTAGTGACCTTATAAATGAGACCTAAGAGAGCTCTCTCACCACTTCTCCTATGTAGTACACAGGTATAACACTGCTATCTGTGAATCAGAAAGCAGGCCCTCACCAGACACTGCATCTGCCACCAGCTTCATCTTGGACTTGTCAGCCTCCAGAGCTGTGAAAAAAAAATTCTGTTGTTTATAAGACACTCAGTCTCTGGTGTTTTATTATAGCAGCCCAACCTAAGACAAAACATAAACAAGACATACTGTCATTCAACTCAACTGCCTCACAGTTAGAAACATATATTATCTCAATTATGTATTTCAGGACGGTGTATTACTATTAAAGAAACACGTTTTTAAACATGTAAGCTGGAACAGCATTACAGCACTACCTTTATGTTTCCTATCAGAGGGCTACAGTCAAGAGCTAAACTGTTTATAATGAAGGACTTCCTAAATCTTCTGGAATAGGTTTAAGATGAACTCTTACATTGAATTTCAAATTATAATGAAGTTCTGGTATTCTAATGAACAAATTATTAAGGTTTCTTTAGTAGTCATTCTCATTAAAGAATAATTGGAACTGAATACACCTGTTTAATAAAGCATAATCAAGTACTCAAAAAAGAAGAAAACAATATTCAAATCCAAATCAATAACATTATCTGTGTCTACTTGCTTTCTTGATACTAGCATCAATCCCAACATAAAATTTATAAGGTTAACACTTTTGAAAGAGGAATTGTATATGTGGAAGACTCACAAAGTAAAGTATTGCCAACATTTCTCTCCTTTTTTTTTTTTTTTTTTTTTTTTTTCTTGACACGGAGTCACTCTGTTGCCCAGGCTGGAGTGCAGTGGCCGGATCTCAGCTCACTGCAAGCTCCGCCCCCCGGGTTCACGCCATTCTCCTGCCTCAGCCTCCCCAGTAGCTGGGACTACAGGCGCCCGCCACCTTCCCCAGCTAATTTTTTGTATTTTTAGTAGAGACGGGGTTTCACAGTGTCAGCCAGGATGGTCTCGATCTCCTGACCTCGTGATCCGCCCATCTCGGCCTCCCAAAGTGCTGGGATTACAGTTACAGGCGTGAGCCACCGTGCCCAGCCTCTTGTTCTTTTAAGTTTGCCTTTTGTTTCTTGAAAAAGACTTCCAGGTATAATTCTGACATTTAAAAATATGATGATTTTTATTTTTAGCTACCACATTTTAAAAGAACAGAATCCTAAATATTTCTCTTGCTGCCCTGTAATTTCCCTCTTCTATAAACTGTGTTTGCAAAGAGGGAGGACTCCCTCTACCTGGGAAGAAAACATGTAATATAAGGGAAAATACGGATTTTGGAAATAAACCTTTGTTTCCTAACCAGCCAGAGCCATCCTAAATTGGAGACAGCAATGCCCAGGTAATAGAGATGCTGAGGTTGTCAGGGAATGATTCAGGATTGCATGAGGTGATGCTGTAAAAACTGCATAACTATATGTTTGGCACACACTTAGCACCCAGTTTGTTACCTGCCTTCACTTTCTCCTTTCTCATTCCAAAAATCTGAGTGTATAAACCCTTTTGCAAATCCTTCAGACACCAAGAGAGTACAAAAAAATCATATATTTAAATTTAGGTTTTACAGACCACAAGTGGTTATCTGAATGCATAACTGAGCAAGCATTAAGTATTGCTGCTTCAAGACAAGAGCTAATAGAATAAAACGACTAATAAAATGTAAAACAATTTAAAATAGCTCATAGATTTTTAAAAGTTGGATAGAAATGTTACAAAATTGGCTCAGAAACCAACACCCTAAATATGGCACTTTGACATTCAGAAGGAGCCACAAGGTCTCTCTCACCTTCTCCACCCTCCACCATCCTCAACCCTCCAACCCCCTATCTATCCATGCCCCCTTACCCACATCTCTCAATCTTCTATGTCTCCCAAAGCACAGAATGAAGTTGTTCTCTAAGTCGCTTACCTGCCTAAAGTCCAAATATGCCAAAGAATAAAACAATTACCACTGGTCCCTTCCCTGAGTTTTCATTAACTGAACTCATATCGCAGAAAGGAAGACTGAAGTCTGTCAATAAAGCAGGACAGATTTTTGTCAATGACAAAAGGACAGGACAGATTTTTGTCCTGACAAGGTTCTTTGGTACAAATGGCCTTTGTCCCAGGACACTGTATGTTCTTCAAGTCTATTGAATTCCCCTAAAAATCATTTAGTATCTCCCTAAAATCATCCATCCTTTGCCATCTTCCGTTCCCCTAGGAAGTAGGTTATATAAGCACCTGTACTACATTGGGATACTGGGCACTCACTCGGTGATTCTTCCCTGGGCATGATAATAAATTGCATGCCTTGTCTCCACTAATCTGTCTTTTGTGAATTGATATTTCAGCAAACCTTTGGAGGGTAAAGGGGAAATTTCCCTTGGCCCCTATATAATATTCACACTTAAAGTAACTGAGCAAATATACATAATAATTTTGATCACAAATGCTTAAGTATCCCAATGAACAGTCATAATTAGGTTTCTAGGCATTTAAATTATTTGTTGGTGAAACTGTTTTGGAAATGTTTCTTCCTCACCTTTATTTGGAACATTTGAAAATAAATGTAGAAAACGGATTCAGGTATCTTAATGAGGTAGAGTAACAAATTTGTGTTATTAACGAAAATAAAATGAAAACAAATAAAAATACACATTTCCTCATAGAAGTATTTTTTCTCAAATTAACAGCATATATTACTTAGAAATTTAATGGTAAAAAGGAAATAATTGTATATGAGCCTTAGATCTGATGTCTATAAATCCTCCTGTACCAGGATATTACTGTGTTCAATTAATGCTCTCCCCATGGCACAAGAGGCCAGGTTACTTTCACACAAATGCTAGCTAATGTGGCCTACAGGGAATACAGACTTACATTTTCTTCGATTATCTGTGGCTTCCTCTGAATCATTCACCTTTTCCTATTTACTTATTAGTTTGTCATATCCATTAGTGATATTCAACAATTCTGCAGTTTCTGCCCCTTTTTCAGTTCAGAACAAGAAGCTGGTAGGAAGTTGCATTGATTCTTTCTTTTTCTTCTGGAAGCTGTCACTACTTTATGAAAATGCTTTCAAGCACTTTACTGCTACATCAAAGACACTGTGCAACTGGTAATGGATAATGAGGACCTATATGAATATTATGAACTGATACTACAGGAAAAGGAGAAAATTACAAATGACTGAATGTTAAGCAGCAAGGTAAAGAGAAAAAGAGTTGTGGACAGAAAGTGACAAAGAAACAGAGAGGATGCAGAACGTTATAGTTCCATAAAAAATCAGTATATTCAATAAAAATTTGCAGAGCCATTTGTACTAAGAGCTAACTCAACTTTTTAAAAAATGGCACAATGCTTTGAATAGAAAAGAATTAAGCCACATGATAGAACAAATTGGGATATTCATTTATATAAACTTCTAAAAGTACATTCCTAACTATGTTCTAGCTCAAAAAGGTTTTCATTTTAAGAGTCCATTTCTGGATGCTATTGGATAAAGAGGATCTACTTACTAGTTTTGTAGACTTATGTCAATTACTTGATACATCTGTTTCCTAGTATTCTCTGTTACAAAAATGGAAATAATAACATCTACCTCATTTGGCTACTGCAAGTTTTTAATGAGATAAGGCATGAAAAGCTCTGGGGACACTGTTGGTACTTAGTTGTATGCTCAGTATCTAGTATTTATTATAAATAGTGATTAGAAAAAAATATTAGTGTTATATCCAGCATTCCTTCATGTTACGAAAATAGAGACATAGATCAGTGACTTTCCACATGGATTATATTTTAGCCTTACAGATTATTGAGTAAAATATAACTTTTAAGTAGTTAATTAGTTGATTCAAATGTTTCATCAAGTTTAAGAATCAGTGTTCCAGATACTTACAAAAAAAATTCATAGACAAATGGTTATAGCATTATATAAATTATATACAATAATACGATCCTTATTCTTCAGCAGACTTATCTATCAGTGTACTTTTGATTTTGAGTTCTGTGGCACTTACTATGACAAGCTCCTCTCTTAACTAAAGACTACCCATCTCTCAGCTCCAAAATAAATTTCACTTGTTTCATTAATGCCTTCTTTGATTCCTCCATCAGAAAGCAAAGTATCTTCTGAAATTCTAGAGCAGGATTCAATAAATGTTATTTTTTTTCTCTAAAGTGCCAGATAGTAAAAATGTTAGGTTTTGCAGGCTAAGCCACAACTAATCAACTTTTCCCGGCAGCAGGAAGGCAGCCACAAAAAACAGGAAAACAAACAGGTGTGGATATATTCCAAAAACACTTTATTTACAAAATCAGGCAGTGGTCTGGATTTGGCCCAAGGGGCTATACTTTGTCAACCTCTGTCCTAGAAAATCATGTTCTCTATCATTAATTTTGACACTTATCCTACTCTGGGTTGTGGCTTTAATGTGTGTGTGTGTGTGTGTGTGTGTGTGTGTGTGTGTATACATTTTTTAAATGGCACAATGCTTTGAATAGAAAAGAATTAAGTCACATGATAGAACAAATTGGGATATTCATTTATATAAACTTCTGAAAGTACATTCCTAACTATGTTCTAGTTCAAAAAGTTTTTCATTGTAAGAGTCCATTTCTGGATGCTATTGGATAAAGAGGATATATACACACACACACACATATATACACACACACACATATATATACATATATATATTTAGTATCGCCTTAAAATCATATATATACACATATATACACACACACACACACACAGAGATATAGTCACACACACACACACACAATCTCTCTAAAATTTCAGTCTCCTTTGGAGGATGACAGTCAGAAAAGATGTCTTATACTTATTTGTCCAGGTATTTTTGCAGAGTACTTCATATAGCAATGCTTAATTATTTACTGACTTGAATTTATGTAAGGTATGAGAGCCAAGATCTAGCTGTCATTAGCATCTTACCTGTACTGAAACACTGGCTGAGGCATTGACTCTTGGGGTGCTAGAATGGCCAGCCTCATCTTGCTGAGTCCTTATTCTCCCTGCCTGTAAATGAATATAATCTATCCTACATGACAATATGAGGATTCAAAATACTATATATAAAACAGAAAACACACAGAAGACACTTAAATGACATCAATAATTATGTTGGCATATGTTTTAATTGGAACAAATATCTCTAAGTCATTATAACAGAATGATTATTGTCTTGCTCTTTGCGGTAGTTTTCAAATGTGCTTATGTGTGCTAACACGTCTAAATGGAATTTCCATCTTAAAATTCCCTTAGGTTGTATTCCCAACTGGTATTACTAACTTTATAGCTAAGTGAAAATTTCACCACTTAAACATTTTTGCAGCATCAATATTAGCACTTGAATCTCCTCATATATGTGCCAGAAACTAGAATTTTATCCATCTTGAAAAGATCCACATTATTTTAATATTTATTTTCTGACCTTCCTACTTGGGTCATGCTGGGAGTACCAATATTATAACTCATAAATACTTCTGCACAGAACAGATGCCTCAGGAGTAAAGAAGTTCTGCCTCAATATATGCCAAAAATAAAGGTAGAGATAAAAATTACATTATTATGATTATCATTTATTGGCTACCTACATTATTTCTCCAACAACTCATAAAATAAATTTTATTATTTCCAAAATGAGAAAACTGGGCTCTAAAAGTTACATATCTTGATTTTGGTCAAACAGCTTAGAAATAGCTTAGCTGAAATTTCATTGAGGTATATCTATCTGTCTTCAAAGTCTCTGATCTGACATGTGACATTGAGATTGAAAAAAAAGGAGAAGAGAAAAAAGAGATAACTACAAAATAAGACTGACTACATAGAGAAGATGACATGAGAGGTCTACAAAAAAAATTGGCTCAAGGACATGAATTGCTTAACCTTGCTTTGAGATATGTTTGATATCTGGGTAACTCAAGACTAAAAATGACTTACCTGTTCTATTTACAGCCATTTCTCTAACATCCAAAATAGTGTCTAGAACACAGCAAGGGAATAAATAGTTGTTAAAGTATTGCATTCTATGGCTTAAAATATGTCAGAGGCTTTATTCAAAATCCCACCTCACTGTGAATTTGATATATACCCATCTATGAGAATTCTCCAGACCCTACTCTATTCACGCACTCACTGATACCCACAGCACAGGGCTTCCATGGGAGTCTTGCCACCTCTCACACATTCTATCCCTACAACCTTGCAAACTGAGTTACAGGAATGACATCCTGGATTTACTGTTCCTTTGGTCCCTACTGGTTCTCCAGCCTCCTTGAATCCATAAGAGGTTGTTACTTTCTCTAAGCTTCCTAGCTTGGTTCCAGGTAACTCCTTCAAATAGTAAGGAAGCCTTATCATTCCTGTTGACTTTGTGTTGTAACAGACCCAAACTCATTATACCTGACTAGCCTCCATTTTAAAAAATATTTATCAGACTTTGCCTGTAATCCCAGCACTTTGGGAGGCCAAGGCGGGAGGATCAAAAGGCAGGCGATCAATACCATCGTGGCTAACACAGTGAAACCCCGTTCTCTACTAAAAATACAGAAACAAAAATTAGCCAGTCGTGGTGGTGGGCGCCTGTAGTCCCAGCTACTCGGGAGGCTGAGGCAGGAGAATGGCATGAACCCAGGAGGCGGAGCTTGCAGTGAGCTGAGATCGGGCCACTGCATTACAGCCTGGGCGACAAAGCAAGACTCCATCTCATAAAAGAAAAAAAAAATTATCAGAATTTTCCCCCCAAGAATATCTTAAAATTTACTGCAGCATGAAATACTTTAAATTAATACTATTGAAAAGGTACATTGTGTTCAACAGATTAAAATCCAGACCCTTCCAATGACAAGATGTGTAACCTTGGGCAAAATACATCACCTTTGTTCTCTACTCTGCCCATCTGTAAAATAAGAATAACCATAATGTTTCCTCATAAGGTTTTGAGGATTAAATTAATTAAAACATGTAAGGTATTAAAATGATACCTGACATATAGAAATGTTCAACAAATGTAAGTTATTCTTACTTAAAGCTTATCTTCATAACTTTACTTAATAGCCACTTATTTGGTCCAATGTCTTTAAATTCACTTATTATACACAAAAGACATATTTGTTGTTTTACTACTTAGGGCATTAATCTATAAAACAGTATAATTTTACTGAGTGGCTAATTTCTAATTATAATCAAAAGTTAAAGTGAGCTTTCCTATCATCCTCCAGTGGTTTATTCATTTATTTATTTATTAAACTGTGGGCACAGACAGGAAAGTTCAGCCCTGAGATAACTATGGGATTCTCCCAGAGGTAGATCTCTACGTATACCTTGATTTCCCACTCTGACTTCACCTGAAGAGATATTGACAAGTTACATCATGAACAATAGTTCCAATATTTACATTGAAAACCACTGTTATCCTTGAAGTATTCTATGCATTTGTGGACTTTCCTAAACTTGAAATAATCCATGATAGAGCAGCCTTAAATAAAGAACTTAACCAGGTCACATACAAAAAACAGGAAGAAAAACTGAGTATGTTAAATTGATAGAGAAAACAAAAGACATGTGAACTGTCACCACATAGGTATAGTATGTCATTCAAACAGGAAAGGGATTCATTGCACATGGCCCCAGGAAGCTGAACAAAGACTCTAGGTAGAAGCAAGAAAATTTCAGTCACAAGTAGGACTGCCTTTAAAAGAACAGTCTTCCTCAGTGTGTACACTTAATAGATGGTGGTTTATTGAACATAATGAAAACAATACATAAAAGTGGAAACAGATGTCTTCCAAGTTTCTTGCAACTCTATAATCCACCAAAATGCTAAAGATGACGTAAATATGAATACATTATTATTCCCGACATCTACCACTTTATAGAATATTCAGAAACTGAATACTTATATAAAATCAACTATAATAGAATGTTAAGAACAAATAAGACATTGTAAACACAATGTTCCTGAAATTTTAGGAAAATTATTCCACCTATCCAGAGGCATCAGAGGAAAATTTGAATGTGGTGTTTCAGTTCAGTTTAGAAGGTGAGGTTAGAGCTAGAAACGGAAATACTAGGAAGTTAGATTCATTTCAAGATAAAAGAACAGTATGACCAAAGATTGGGCAGTAGGAAGTAGAATGAGAATGGACAAGGCATGGGGACAGTTCAATTTGAGTTGAGTATGATAGTAGTGGGAGATGAACATGAAACAGCTGTTTGGAATTACATCATGCAGGGACTGAAATGTCAGTCCTTGGACCTAGGTGGTGGGAGTGTTAGTTAACCGAGGTGTGCTTCAGTGAGAGTATCTGATACCATGTACAGAATTAACTGGTAGGGTGAGAGACCAGAGGTGGGAATACCCACTCAGAGACTATTACATGACTGCAGGTAGTATGTCAAAAGCACCTGAAACCTCTGGCAACAACAGAATAAAAGGAAATAATTTAAAAAAATTATTTCAGATGTACACAAGTCCAGAGAAAGGGCGGTCTCAAAAGCTTCTAGGTTAGAATACTGCTGAGAGCAATATGAAGAATGAGGGCGGCAGAAAGAAAGAAGACAAAAAGGAAGGAAGAGATCACAGGATACTGGAAGTATCAAAGGCACAGTAAAGAGAAGCTGTCCTGCAAACATCTAGAAATGTCTGGAAATGCCTAAAAGTTGAGGGCAGGTCAGGACTGCAGCAAATGGCTTGGGAGTTATTCCTACTGAGGTGAAAGCAGAGGTCAAGAGCAGATGAGCTTTGTCAATCAACAGAATGCACGCTAAAGAAAAGCCCGGCCAGGCTCAGTGGCTCATGCGTATAATCCCAGCACTGTCGGGGGCCAAGGCAGGCAGATCAGTTGATGTCAGGAGTTTGAGACCAGCCTGGCCAAATGGTGAAACCCCATCTCTACTAAAAATACAAAAAATTAGCCAGGCGTGGTGGCGGGCGCCTGTAGTCCCAGCTACTCAGGAGGCTGGGGCAGGAGAATCACTTGAAATCAGGAGGTGGCAGCTGCAGTGAGCTGAGTTCACCTCACTGCATTCAATCTGGGTGTCGCTGCGAAACTCTGTCTCAGCAACAACAAAAAAAAGCCCAAAACAGAAACTGGGGAACACATACTTATATTGAATAGGAGGTGAAAGGCGAGCTGGAGAAGCAGCAGTAAATGAGCAGTGAGAGAAGTAACAAAATAAACAACACAAGAAAGCCAAAACAGAAGTTCAAGAAGCATTAGGCATAACACTGCCAAAGTTTATTGACAGTCCAAAGCAAATAATTTGGAGTCTAGGAGGTCAATGATGCTCTGATTATTAAAGTTAACAGTTGTTATGCCTTACTAATAAAGAACTCATTGTTTCAAAACAAAATATTTTAATACAAGGGTATTATTTTCATCCTTTAATGAAAGGCAAAATAATTTTGAGAGTACTTTGAAAGTACTCTGATCCCACATAATTTTTTAAACAATCTCAATTTGATCTTATTGGCCAATAGTTTTCAACCATATCGATCACCATTCCACCACAGGTATCTTAAAATGTAGACAGGCATTTTTGACTGTTACAATGGCTAAGGGAAAGCCACTGACTTACAGAAAACAGAGATAGATAATTGTTATGGACCTAATGTGTGCCTCCAAAATTCATGTTGAAATCCTAATCCCCAAAGGAGTGGTATTAAGATGTGGGGATTTGGGGAGTTAAGTAGGTCATGAGGATGGAACTCTCATGAATGCGATTAGCACCCTTATAAAAGAGAGTTCTCACTCTCATCCCACCATGTGAAGATATAAGAAATCAGCAGTCTATAACCCACAAGAAGCCTTCACCAACACCTGCACCACGCCAGCACCCTGATCTCAGATTTCCAGCCTCTAGAACTGTGAGAAATAAATTTCCATTGTTCATAAGCTACCTAGTCTATAGTTTGTTATCGCAGCCCAAATTTACTACGAAAGGTCACAGACACCCAATGCTCTGCAATGAAAGAGACAGTCCTACACAATGAAGAAGTGTCCCACTCCAAATGCCAATAATCCCACCTGTTGAAAAATACTGTCACCGACTGCTATTTATCACTGAATTTGCCTTTCATATATTTGAGAATTGATGGAACTTCAAATCCTAGAATTTTTGAAAATCATTTTTAAAATGAGATAAATAGTAACATCCCTTTGAAACTTATCAAATGCATGCTTTGTAGTTTTATCATGTATTCTTATCTAATCTAGTTACAAAAGACACAGCTCTTCAAGTTAATTACATACTAGGGCAGCTGCTTTGTATAAAGTACCATTCTTTTATATATTAGCTTCAATAAAAATCTGATTAGAGATATTGACTAATTAATAATGATACATATTGTGCTAGGTGGAGAAACAGCAAATGCTTGTAATAAAATTCTTTCTACAATATACCAACATTTTATATAGATCTTTATTTATCCAAACAAACATTTCATTTGTGTTCACCACTTACACAAAATATTTTCTATTGAAAGTTGCTATTTTAGTGCCAAATATTATATAAAACTAATCACCAGACTCTATAATTGAACCACATAGACATTTTTGTAGAACTATCATAACTGCACAAAACCTTTAATGGAAGTACCTTTAAGCCGGTATCTTGTAGCTGTCGTTCAATTGTCCCATAGGATTTTCATGAGGTCCTTTGAGACTTCAATGAATATTAATGTAAACATTTGCAGGAGTTTTAGTATTAGGTCCGAAAAATTATTTCTAAAAATATTTGCTTGATTTATCAACACTGATATTTGTGAATATGTTGAAATTGTCCATGATGCACCTAAGTTCCAGTTAGTCCAGCTCCAGCTGGACTAGTTTTATTATAGTCAACTCCAATTTGTTTAATTTTCTCCTATATTTTTAATGATTATAGTTGATATCTAAATGTGCAGACCCTCTACTTATTTACTAATTACCAAATACATGTGGTAAGTATTATTTATTCCTCTCAACAATGGTTCATTTTAAGTTAGTCTCTCAAATTATGATTTTAAACAGCTGGATCTCTCATAGAGGTAGACTTGGTCCCTGGATTCACCATTTAAAGGAGCAACTGAGAAAATGAAGCTTTTTCACAAGTTAAAAAAAAAAAAAATCCATTATTCACTGAGAACTAGTGTGCAGTTGTTTCCCAAAGTATTTCTTAATCACTTTTATCCAAACAGTTTTGAGAAAGCCTGGGACAAACCAGGATGACCTCTCAAAGGGAGTCCACTTAATAGTTTATTATGCAATTCAACTTTGTTGTGCCATCTAATGGCAAGTTCGGCATTTCAGAGTTTCCAAAAATCTACTAAAAATAAGCCAGTGACGCTCGTGACAAACTAAAACGTGTAAAGTCAAATATTTAATATCTAACACTAGTTACTGAGTTATTTCTATGCATGTGCTCAGCACAGTGCTATTTCACAGATATTATCTCATTCAATGTTTACAACCAACATATAAAATTGGTTATTATTCTATTTTTACACATGAAGAAACTGAGACTTAAAGAGGTTTAGCAACTTGTCTTTGTTGGCAAGTGGCAAAGCTAAGATCAAAACCCAGACAGGTTGGACTTCAGAGCACCTCCTCTGCCCTATCCTGTCCCAAGTACCAGCTAAACAGGGGTTCCCAGATGAATCAGATATACCATCTACTCTCAAGGACCATGTAGCCCAGGAAGAGAGATAGGATGCCTTCCCAAATAATTGTAATTCAAGGTAATAATGTAAGAATCAGCCTAAGAGAAGCCTAGATCAAGTTACGAAGTAGTTCAGATGAACACAGATTGCTTCAAGATGTGGAAACCAGGAGGATACTTTTTATTTGGGATGGGCTGGAGGGAGGAGAGGAACAAAGAGCAATAAAAGAATGTAATTACTCTTTGCTGCATGCCACTCCATTTATCAGATACAGTAGGAAACAGCTTTGTTATGTTCTTTGGTGTTCAGAACAACCATACAAGTACTACCACAACATTGCATAAGACAAAGCCAGTCAGTGGCTTAACTAAAATTTAAATCCAGTGCCCCTGCATTACGGTCTGCCCTTTTCATTTCTTTCTTTCTTTCTTTCATCTTCTTTTTTTCTTTTTTCCTGACCACCTTGAGTAGGTCACTCTTTGATGTTTGCACTTCATGGGCACCTTTTGCTAATCTGTCAGACCAAAGAGAGTATTTTCCTATTTTGCACAAATGAGCATCATAAACTAGATGATTAGATGCAAGACAAGGAAAAGGAATCCTCAAAAGAGCCTCAAAAATTCTGTTCTCAGGGCAGAGTTCATGCTGGATTTCCTGCCAGATTCAGAGTTGAAGGCAGGAGACACCTGGCTTGCTAATTTTTATTTCCTCCTCTCCCCACTTCCCTCCAGTTCGGCCTCCCTCCCTCTTTCCTTCTTTCTATAATCAGTTGTTCTGAACCATGATATGCCAGACACTGTACTGGGCTATGGAGAAAACACGGTAAGATCTTTGCTCTTATTTAGCTTCACACAAGGCAGAAGCTATATTACATAGTGGTTAAAGCCAAATAGATCGCATGGATTGCTTGTCTCAGCCCAGCCACTTACTAGGTGTACCAGCTGAATAAGCTATGAAACTTTCTGGGCCTAAATTATTTGTTCTGTAAATATGGATATGGACAGATCTACCTCACAGGGTTGTTACGTGCTATCAGACAGTAGTAGCACAGTGCCTGGAATATGGTGAGCATTACAGAGTTGTCATTATAGTCGTTATGTACTACAGTTACTTTATACTCTTAGGAGTGAGTGGATTGGTTTGTCCAAGGTGTAGTAGAAACTGCAGCTCAAACTCTTCTCTCAAATGATGGAAACCAATTCATTGACAAAGATAGTCTTCAGAGAAGGATCATCCTCCCCTCCTAACATGAAGAAAAATCCTTCATTACCTGTTTTTATTCATTAAGGATCACTATTAATGAACAAAAAACGGGCTGAATACAGGTTCCTGAGAAAAGACACTCTTCTCAAATTTGCCTTTTAGCAGATCTTACCAACATTTCTTACAACTGCGGAGTTCCTTTCAAGTTATTTGGGATATATGTTTCTTCCATCAAGAGGAGAAAAAAAAAAGGGGGTGACTAAAAGGCAAATGGGATACAAGAAAAGATTAACCTGGATGACTGCCTATATGAGAACTTGAGAACAGAATTCCAGCCTCATTCATCTTGGTAACCCTGGTAGGGTGTCTAGACTGATTATAGGAGCTCAAATATAGCCTGTCTAAATTCTAGGTGTTTACCACACACTTTATTCTTCCCAATAGCATTTCAGAGTGGGTACCACCAATCTCATTTTATAGATAAGAAAAAGGTAAAGCCCTGATTGTTAAACAACTACTCAACCTTACAAAAGTGCAGAACCAATCTGTTCTAAAGTTAATTCCCTTTTTCCATGTGAATGTCTCAAAAATGTTTGGTGAATGAATACAGAATTAAAATCAAATTCTGGAGATGCCTTTTATTTCAGATCCATGATCCAGGAATATGACTCTAGACAAGGGAGGTTTCTTTAGGTAATGTTTCTCTCCTTCCCTTTAAAAGAGCTCAAAGCCAAAAATATAAGCCAGACATTATCAAAGAGCAAATGAATGTCTAGAAATAAACTGAGCATTTATAGAAGGATACACTAATTTGAACTTTGGGAAACAGGTGTTAAAATTTCAGATCACTTAATATTAAAACATGCCTTGGGGGAAAAAATGTAATATGTAACTGCAAACTGTTGATGTATTTACAAAAAATAGTTTCTGACTTTGTAAGTTGTTACACAATACACTGAGTTTCTTATGGTTATAATGTTTCCTTTCCACTGAGATCATTCAGTCCCTCACTTGGATTGCTTTAAATGTAATGTGCTCAGTTAGAAGTAGAAGCTGGAGTTAGGATTGCTTCACCGGGGCTAAATATTAGTCACTTTGCTCAACCCTCATTTGCCCTCTCCAGTCCCCACCCAACTCTCATTTTTCAGCCACACTCCACCAAATGCATACTTAGTGCTTGTGGTTCCAGTGACACAACACATTCAAGCTAACCTGTCTGTGGAAAGTTGGCAACCCTCTGAGTTCAGACTGGGGTTAGCCATGAAGCATGGGGTGACAGGAAATGGCATCCAGTAGTCACTCCTTCCTCTGGTCCAGTCTTTTTCACATCACCTTCATCACTGCCCGCTATTTTATTCTTCTGTTGTGTCTCCTTTGGGACCCAAGAGGGAAGAAGGACATGAAATAACAGCTGTCCTAATGCCACTAACCAGCCCTAACGCAACGCAGCCTAGTCCTACTTATTTCTCCGGGAAAGGCAATCAAAAAACAATTATAGAGAAACCACTCCTCACTTCCTCTTCTATGTCTCTCGTGTGTGTGTGTGTGTGTGTGTGTGTGTGTGTGTGTGTGTGTGTGAGAGTGTGAGTGTGTGTAAAATTTTAATTTCCCTGGAATTGGAACTACAAAAGTCCCTCCTCAGCCCTACCGGGAAAGTGGTATTGGGCACGACCGCCCTTTCCAAGGCAGTCTGCAATCGTTTTCGCGGAAGTAGAGGAGAAAAGCGGGTAGAGAAGGGAGCTGCCATGCAGCATCCGTTGGGAAAACAGTTCGCACGTGAGCGGGCTCGCACGTGAGCGGGCTCGCAGCCTGTGGCGCCACCTGACCGGGCCTAGTGCCCCCAGTGTGGTGCAGTAGCTCAGGAAGCCCAGCAGGCACAGGCCCTCCTGAACCCTTGCCAAGTCAGCGCTCCCTTTCTGCCTGGGCTCAGGCCTCGCCCGCATACACTTTTCCATCTGCTTCCACCCCTGCCATCCTTCCTGGGGACCAAAAATGAAGAAAGACAACCCCCACACCCCAATCCCCCGGTATTTCGTCTTCCCCTCGCAGCCTCTTCCTGTCCTGATCATCTGCTCAAAGAGAAGACGTTCCCTACACACACTCTCACCACCCCCGCCTCCACCTTGTGCAGCAATGAAGCCACGCTACCCTAGGGGGTTCGGGGGCCGGATGCTGGCAGGGCGCGCACTAGAGACACGCCGCACGCAAGCAGCCCTCCGAGTCCCGTGAGCCAGGGAGACTGGGGTGCACCGCGCCACGCTGAGTCTAGGTGTAAAAGCCGAGAGCGTGGGTACCTCCTGGCCGAAAGCACGCGGGGCGTTCCTTGCCCGGGACCCCGCACACCCCCAGCAGCTCCCGGGCCGCTGTCGGCGCTCACTGGCTGACGCGAGCTCTCCTCCCGCGGCCGCTTCGGGGTTTTTTGTCTATATAAGGGCTCGCTGGCCAACTCTGCGTTGGCACGTTTGTCACAGGCTGGCCATTATTTGCACACACGCGTGCGGCTCCGCGGGCAGCTCCGGTCGCAGACGCGGGCTTTCGCTCCTCTTCGCCTGCGCCGCCTCCTCGTCCTCCTCCTCCGCCCCCCTCCCTCCCCAGCTGTACTTACTTTATCTGGTCTCTGGCGCAGGGTGGGCGCTGCAGCTCTCTGTTCCCCGCAAGCCGCAGCCGGTTCGCCTTGCTGTCAACGGGTGAATGGAATTATTTATTTATTTATGGCCCCTGACGTGTCCTCGCCCGCCACAGCCAGCGGAAAAGGAGGCGGCGGCGGGAAGGGGAGGCGCGGCTGCTGAACGCCCTTGTGGGTGCGGAGGAGCGCGCGCCGGGGGTGGGGGCCGGACAGACTGCGGTGGAGGCCGGCCCGGGGGGTGGTGGGGGGGAGCCGCCTCCCGGTGCCTGGAGACCGACTGAGCATGCTCCAAGCGGCTGTCAAAGCTATAGGCAATTTCTCTATCGCTCGGGGCACTCCACTTCGGATTTTAGTTTTGACCAAGGAAGAAAGCCAAAAGGCAGGTAGATCTGTCGTTTCAGATGGGTCGTGACTTTCTGTATCCGAAGTACTCTGTAGCCTGACCTAGGAGTCAGGTGTGGGGTAGCTCTGTCTAGATATTCCAGAGAGTTGTGTAACCCATGCATGGGAGAGGAAAGCATGCAAAAAGAGAAGAGTCTGGCCGAATGCAGGGAGAATAGGAGATCCTCACTGTGAACTTGCAGTGAAAGTGTTGAGCCATTTTTCAACTGAGGCCTTTTTGGGAGAAGGAGGTAGTGCACTGTTGGAGATTAGACTCACTAACCAAATCACTTTACAGAAAAAAATAAAATTGACACCATAGGAGGAAGGGTATAGAAAACAGCACCAAAAGACATTAAAAATAAGGATTTTTTTTTTTCAAATCATTTATAAGTAATTCCTTTCATTTTTGGTTTCTCCAATTATTTAGTTCTTCAAACCAGCATTTAGTTATTTGACAACGAATAGTGCTAGAGATAATGGTAATTGTGCAGTCATTGGTTTGGTCTCTTCCTCTGTCTAAAATATGCTTCTTGGGAAAGTTGGAAAGAGGAAGGGCTGGAAGAGAACGTTTAACCTACCCCAAAGATTGAGTTTCTTTAATAACTTTAAGTTAAATTGCCACTTTAGAGAAAAAGAAACTATCCAAAAGAATAATTGTAGGTTTTGACTTGACAAGTCCTATTGCAGTTTGTCTACCAGTTTAACTAGCTTTCTCCTCCTTGATTTCACAATAATCCTTTTAAGATGTGTTCTATGATTCTTCACATTTTACAAATTTATAAAAAGATAGTTAAGTCATTTGGGTAAATTCACACTGTCTTTTGCCGCAGCTAGTCTGCTGTAATGGACAAAATTTGAATTTCAATTTCTGTAGCTATGAAATAAAAGTAATATCAATCTTGGGTTGATTTCATAAGATTTAAGTGAAATAATATACATGAAGTGGCTGGTAGGCATAATATAAGGTGAATAAATAATGGTGATTAGTAACTTCAAAATTATTGGAAGATAATTTTATTGAAAGAATGATATTTGAAACTGAAAAAAAGGCAGAAAATTACAGAAAGGATTTTATATTTTTAAGCTAAAAATGCTTAAATAGACGTTTGTGTAAGACATAATAGGCATTTTGATAATGATGGAATGTCTAGCAGTGACTCTAAATACTTCATTTAATTACAAAAAAGTTAAACATTTCAAAGAAACAACATGAAGGCACATTTCAAGGTCATATTCTTGAGTGTTTGCTATTGACATTTTTCCTGCTCATTCATCACTTTTATTTCCTGTCAAAGAAGAGGAAGAAGACCATATGCTTTCTGAATGTCGATCCTATTCTCCCTTTTCCTTCTCTTTGATTTTTCTTTTTTGTTGTTTTTTTTTCTTATAGTCCCATGTTCTTGGCTTGTTTAACCTATTGCTGAATGCCAAACATCCCTACTTATAGCATGATATCATAACCTTCTTTTTAAGTCTTGTTTTTTCAACAATTAAAATTCTGGATCTAATTTACCTACTGTCACAGAGTTAGTATTTGGGAACTCATTTCTAAATTGCTTTGTTGTGGTAACTAGGTATGTTACGTAAAATTTGATTTGACTAGAAAGGAATCTGAAAGGAGGGAGAATCAGCTAAGAATAAATTCAGCCAATTTATCCTATCACTTATAGTTTAATATTGTTAAGAAATGGAGAAAAAAAATACAATTTAGGGAAAAAACAAGCCATATGATTAGAACTTGGAATGCTCTGGTAAAATGTTTGCCTTGATTTCTTTTCATAAGCTGAAATAACAGTGAGAGAAACAAATAGCAATACACTTAACATTCTAGCAACTCATATTCCACAGATGAGCAAACTGTGAATACGTACATAACATATATACTCATGAAGTCCACGTGTCTTTTACTATATACCCACATCTTTGTGGTTTAGGTTGTTTATCCCTTCTTCATTCCTCAGTCATGCACAATCTTCTCACATTTTTCCATCTTTTCTCATTCACCGCCCTCTTTCCCATATCAAACTTGCCTAAGCCTTTTTTCTTCCTTTAATGCCCAGCAAATATATCATCACTTCTACAGCATTTTAAGGATTCCTTGTTAACAAATAAGGGTTAAGTTCATCTTTCTCTGTGATCCTGCCCATAGAAAATGATTTAGGCCTCTATCTGGGGCATTATCTTTCTGCTTCACATATGACTATATTATAATATGATTTTTGTTTCTGTAGCCCCAATATATTAGGTTATTTGAAAGTAAAGATGACATTTTATTCATCTCTGGCATTGTCACAGGCTTTTGAACCACAGCGACTCCATCTTGAATAAGTCCTGAGTAAAATGAGGCTGAGACTTATTGAGCTGCATTCCCAGGAGATTAAGGCATTCTTAGTCACAGAATAAGGTAGGAGGTTAGCACAAGATACAGGTCATAAAGACCTTGCTGATAAAACAGCCGGCAGTAAAGAAGCCAGCTAAAACCCACCAAAACCAAAATGGAGACAAAACTGACCTCTGGTCCTCCTCACTCTTCATTATGTGCTAATTACAATGCATTAGGATGCTAAAAGATATTCCCTCCAGTGCCATGACAGTTTACAAATGCCATGGTAAGGTCAGGAAGTTACCCTGTAAGGTCTAAAATGGGGAGAAACCCTCTGTTCTGGGAACCCTCCGTTCCCACCCCTTTCCCAGAAAACTCGTGAATAATCCATCTCTTGCTAACATATAATCAAGAGGTAATAATAAGTGTTAGCAGCTGAGCAGCCCATGCTGCTACTCTGCCTTGGGTGTAGCCATTTTTTGTTCCTTTACTTTCCTAGTACACCTGCTTTCACTTTATAGATTCATCCCAAATTATTTCTTGCATAAAATCCAAGAACCCTCTCTTGGGGTCTGGATCAGGGCCCCTTTCTGGTAACAGAATCATCTATCATGTAGTACAAATCCTTGCAGAGAGAAAGGTAATTAGTAATGTTTGCTGAATGAAGAAAAGAGATGACAGTGTGGCTGTAGACAACACATATGTGGTAGAAGCTATTGGTGCTCTCAGTATCTATGATCTGCATGGCTACACACTTCCTGGCTTTCCTTACAGTTATATTGGGACAATGCAACTATGTAGTTCTAAAAGAGTATGAATGGAAGTGACATGTGTAATTTCTGTTAAAGGGAGTTAAGACCCCGTGTGCCTCCTTCATCACTCTCTTTCCCTACCACAGTACCATGTTTCTGATGAACTAGCTACACAATGGAATCGCTGAAAAAGAAAGACGGCTTGAATTGCACTGTACTTTGTGTGAGCAAGAAACCATTATTTTAAGCCTCGGAAATTTCAGGCTCTATTTGTCATGGGAACAAAACCTAGCCTATTCTGACCAATATAAGATATTACTTTAAAAGACTGTAAATCAGCCAGGCGCAGTGACTCATGGTTGTAATCCCAGTACTTAGGGAGGCCAAGGCGGGTGGATCACCTAAACTATTGGTGCTCACAATATTTATGATCTGCATGGCTCCACACTTCCTGGCTTTCCTTGCAATTATATTGGGACCATGCAACTATGTAGTTCTAAAGCGTATGAGTGGAAGTGACATGTATAAGAAGTTCAAGACTAGCCTAGCCAACATGGTGAAACTCCATCTCAACTAAAAATACAAAAAAATTAGCCGGGCGTGGTGGTGGGCACCTGTAATCCCAGCTACTTCGGGAGGCTGAGGCAGAAGAATCACTTGAATCCAGGAGGCGCAGGTTGCAGTGAGCCGAGATCGCACCACTCACTCCAGCCTGAGCAACAAGAGCAAAATTCCATCTCAAAAAAAAAAAAATTGTAAATCATAATGGCATAAAATCCCCAATGAAACACTGAACTTTTGAAAATGCACTAATGTGTTCTTAAGTCAAAACTAAAAATATCGTCTCATGACCCCGAAATTCATATAATAGCATTTTCAGAGTAAGACTGTGAGATTAAAGTAAGGGTGTGTGTGTTTATAAACTACACACAATAGAGTCATTATAGCTAAGTACAAAAGACCAAATGTCCCAATGCTTCCCTCAACTTGGGTGAAAACAAATGTATACCTGTTCCAGTGGCAACATACTGTGGCTGAGATTGCAACTGGCTAGCAGCTGTGAATATGATTGCTGTAACCTGCTTTCACAGACTATACAAACTATAAAAATGTATCTCCACTGCTTCTAGATTTAAATCTTGAGTATATCTATATAGGCTACTTTGGAAATACCTTCTATGAAAAACTCCCATAGAATTTTGGGGAAAGACAATCTAGTCCAATTCTATAAAGCATATAAAAGGGGAATCAATTGCATTGACATTGCTGTATGGTATGCCTTTAAATAATAGCACACAAGGGTCTTTGGTTTAAAACAAAATGGCTTTTTTGGCTCCAAAAATCTCTCAATGGATTATATATTAAAACACTTATTTGTTGGGGTATTTTTCTAAATTTACATGTTATCAATTATTATCTATAAACTAAACTTAATGGATTCGGGGTGTTTTACAGACGCTTCGCCATGTAAATATTCTGATTATTTTGAATGCATATAAGATTAGAAACTTAAATTAAAAGTTATCATCAGACTGTAAACTTTTCAGGCAGAAATCTTATAAATGGTGGCTAATGAGTATTAATACTTAATACATTTTATGAAATGAATCAATGATGACTGAATGTGTTATCAAGAAGCTAAGGCTTAGTGCCTTTTTCTGTGCAGTTGATCTTTGCTGGGTTCCTTAAGCTCTCTGAGTCATAGGTTTTTACTTTAAGACCTTAATAA